CCTATCAGAAACTGATTACATCGGAATACACGGTTTCTGATAGGTTGAAATCTTAATATCTAATTCTTGTTCCTCTATTGTGCGCAGGCCCTAAAGGTATTCGGTTGAAGAACTTGTGACTGGTCGACTTATGTGATAATTGACGAAGATTTCTTGTGTTATGAATTACTGTTCATCATTTTACGCAATACTATCTTTACGGTATGAAAATTGTGCTTTATAAACGTATATATATATATTTTATCATTTTAATAAAAATTCACATATATGTTATTTAATTATATAAAGATCTTTTAGCACCAATATAGAGGTTAGATTCCAAATTAGAACTTTTTAGAAATTTTTTTCTTTTAATTTTGTAATTTTATGTTTTTAACATCATAATTTTCTGGAAATATTTATTTTTTCTATAGAGAGCAGTATATTATTTTTATATCAGATAAAAATTTTAATATGATTTGATCATTGTGAAATTTGTTTATTTTTGTGCGTTGTTTTCTGAAAGAAAATTTGTATTATTTAGCAGTTTATCAAATTATTATACATTTAGATTTTATATTTTAAATACAAATGTAATTTAAATTGAATTTTATTTATAGTAACGTAATAAAATTTTTAGTTTAGGTAAGATAGAATACTGCTTAAAAGTCACTGTTAAGTTTTTTAACTTCTGTTTAAGCTGAAATGAATCAAATATTCACATAAATTTGTACAGTAGACACTTAGTGGCAGGTGCAGTGTATACAGGGTGTTAGTTAAGTATGTTCCCAAACTCAACAGAGCGATTCTTTGGTTTATTTCAAGTAAAAAAATCCATATAAACATGTGTCCTAAATGGCTTAGTTTCCGAAATAAAAAAATTTAAACGTGTAGTAATATGTTTATTTGTAAGAAATACAACTTGAACTAGTCAAAAACTAATCAAAAACAGAAAAACGAAAACAGGCTTTAGTTCTTCCGATGAAATAAAACAATTAGATGAATTGTTGAAAATGTCGACCTTGCGCCATGATACATCCATCGAGCCTTTTTCTCAAAGATGGACGTACACGCTTAAAGATACCAGGTGTGTTACGTATTGCCTCACATGAAGCAACTATTCGATTCCTCAAATCATTCTCATTCTCAATTGGGGTGGGCATATCTGCCATTTCAAAATTTGTAAACTTAGGCATGATGAAACCGATTTTGATGGATTGAAACAATTTGGCCTAAAAACGTACGTACAAGCTAATTGACCCGCAGCAACATCAGGACTGAAGTCTATTTTTGATTTTGTGACTTTGACTTTGACTTTGTCATTTTGTTTATGGTTGTGCGAATAGTAACTCACATGAAGCAAGGCATATTTATGCAGGAAGGTACCTTACCAACGCAATTTATCGTTTCGTCACACATTTGCGAACATTCACCTGTATTTCGGAAACTAAGTTGTTTAGGACACATGTTTATATGAACTTTTTTACTTGAAATAAACCAAAGAATCGCTCTGTTGAGTTTGGGAACATACTTAACTAACATCCTGTATAAAGTATAATGAGATTTAACAATATGCATCATGATTCTTTATTTTTTTATTAATTTTTCCAAAATAACATTTTTGTACTTCTTTTGCTTTTCATGTTACAGCCATAGTTTTTATCATCCTGACCTAATTTTAGTTAGACTTAGTGTTTTACATTATGGCAAAGATCCATGGTGCTGGAGAACGAACAATAGAAAGCCATTGTAAATATTCTCTACAAATAAGGATGGATGTATGAGGAGTTTGCCTAGCAATTTGGCACTTTCAATTTGACAGTGACCAAGTTTCTTAAACGTTGGAAGATCTAGACAAGCTATGTTGAGAAGAAAAGCGACCAACCACACTACTTTTCTTGTCATAATATCCTTAGCATATCTAGCAGTGATCTATATCTCACGACCCTGGATGTTGTTAAAAAAACATTGACTTCTGAACAGTCTAATTCACCTGTACAGATCATATGCTGTCGCCTGAAAGACTATGTAAACGATGGCCAATGAAGAAATCATTCATTTCTGTAAAGAATTGGAAGACGTGAGTGAAGTGCATCAAAGCATACCTCAACTGGATACTAGCAATGGTCTGATATCTTCTGGAGCAACAAAAGTAAATTTATGTTGTTTAATAATGATGGTATAACATAGATTTGCTAGATAGCTTTGCTTCTAATGCTTAAGAGACTTGATCACTGTTGATTTAGAGATACTAAATTGTTAGGCAAACTCCTTGTTTATTCATTTATGGTCCTTTACGATAGCTTTCTGTCGTTCATATTCTTGAGGTCTTTTCCATAATGTAAAATACTAAATCTAACTACTAAAATTAAGTTATAATGATAAAAACAATGGTTGCGACATAAAAAAGCGAAGAAAGTACAAAAGTGCAATTTTGGGAAAATTAATAATAAATTAAAAAATCATGGTATATATTATCAAATCTCATTATCCTTTATGTACAAGGTGCACCTGGTATCTACTATAAAAATTAGAGCGCATTCGATTTGCTTTGACAGAAGTTATACTCAAAAAAACCTAAAAGTGATATACTTTTGACGATATTATAAATTGGATGACTGATGAATTTTATCTATTATCCAAATTATTTTATATTTCTGAATAAAAAAATAATAATGCGAATAAGTTAAATATTTATATATATATATTTATATATATGTATATATA